CCTCTTCATTAAAGGATGTGTTCATTGCCACACAATTTATTTATTTATTTATTAATTTATAGTTTTTTTTTGTTAAACAATTAATTATAATGTTTAAAAATATATATTTATAAATTAATTTTAATTTATTAAATAATAAATATTAAATATTTTATTAATTACTAATTGTTCTTAATAATCAAATTAAAATAAAAATTGAATAAATTGTATGGTCTTAACAAATTGCGGTGTAGCCATAACCATTGCCTTCATTAATCTTGCACATTCCTCGTCCTTTCTTCTTCTTCTTCTTGGGTTTAACTTTGCTACTGCTGGGTTGGCACTGTCGAGCAACTTCCAAAAACTTTCATGATTATATTGAATATATATACTTTTACAAATAATTTAGCAAGCCAAATCAACTCAAAGTGAGACCCATGTTTTATTTAATTGAATTTTTATAATGAAAAGAATGGTCGAACTTGAATGATTCAACCATCTTGGTAAGGTGATACATGGGCTGACTTCTCTTTTGGAATATAGACATCTTCCTCGAGCTTTAGCTAGTTTCTAAATTAATAAAAGGGAGACCAAAATGATGAAATTTGCAAGCCAGTTAGGTGGGGATTGGGGAAGAGGACAAGGTCAATCCATGTTGTTTGGACCATTTGAAAGAGAAAGCAAAGTGGTTGTTAGTTGTTACTTGTTACCCCTTAATGCTTTTCCAAGTTTCAATCCAAAAGGACCATTTTCCTTTGAGAGCTACATATCAACTTGAAAGGGCATTAAAATTTCGCAAAAATGATTTCGAGATTTTTGCAATGCTGAGATGATAAAAATTTAGCTAAAATCTGACCAGTGCTATAATGTATTAGATCATGCCATGGGAGCTAAGAATGGTCAAAATGCTTTGAAAAATTATGTAGAGTGGGGATGTGGATTGAGATTCCTATACCATTAACAAAAAAACATGGGGACTAAAAGACACTTTGGGTAATACAATTTAATACATTCCAAAGAGGCATACATCTTTTCTTCACGGGGGCCTATACTAGGAAAAGAAAAATCAGAAAATGGTTAAGTGCATAGCTTGTGCTATCTAATCAAATAGTTATCAATCATGTCCCGCTTTTGGGTTGGGAAGGAGTTGATAGGACAACTAAATGGGCACAAATTATGGGGAACTTGCAAGTTGAGGGTAAAAATTTACTTTTAATTCTTTACCTTATTAAATTTGAAGGTTTTAATTTATTATCTTACATTATAATATTTTAAACATCTTATTTTATTAGATTTATAGGTTTTAATCCATCATTTATTAAAATCGAAGGAAATAACTCTCACTTTATATTGTTTGTTAACTCTGCTAGTAGAGAGTAAATTTTTGTCAACCAATAGTTAAATAATAGTTAGTTAACAAAATAAACGAAATATTATAAAGTTAGTTCTATTAATTTTAGTAGCTAAAAGAAAGTTTTTGTCAGTTAATAGTCAGTTAAAAAAGTTAACAGTTAATTAACAAAACTAACAAAATGTTACAAAGTGTGGGCTATTTTCTTCAATTTTAATAAGTGAGAGGCTAAAAGTGTTAAAGTATAAAGTGATAAGTTAAAACTTACAAATCTAATAAGGTAAAGGACCAAAAATATTATAATATAAAATAAAAGATTAAAACTTTCAAATGTAATAAGGTGAGGGACCAAAAATAGGTTTGTCCCCAGGTTGAGTGGTAAACAAACCTCCTTCACATCAGAAATGCATGTGCCATAAATGGCTTAAAACAACAGTTTCAATAATTTGAGGAGGATAATAAATAAAAAGGGCCCATATCTCAGCACGGTGGCTGGTGTTACCTGGTTGTGGATATTAGCCCTAATTAGGGCTTTCTGTTTGTCTTATTGAAGAGCAAAAATCATGGAGAGAAAATGGTGACTGAAGGGATGTTAGGTTGTTGTTTTGTATTTGTGTACTTCCTTTATGAAATGTAGATTTGAAAATGAAGTAAGGAAGTGAGATCCCAGATTGTTTGCTCATTCCTCTATCAGTCTTTCTTTGGGAGCAAACTTTAGGAATTATGCCATAAATCAATCCATAATGGGGATATTTAGTTTCAAACAGCATGTAAATACTTCTGTTAATCACTGGGTGCAAAATTTCAAGAGATTACCATATATGTTAAATATTAAAAGTTACAAGTTCGAATGTAGTTGGAAGTTACTAGATGCATATAAATATATAAAAAATATAATTTCTGAATAAAAATTGATACTAATACTTGTATATTGCATTGTCTATGGTCCTTGTTTTTTCCTAAGGGGAAATTATTAGATTGGTTGGCAGCAGGAAAATTGTCAGGAAGACATTCAGAAAAAGTTGCAGGTTACTGCGATACAACCAAAACCAGTCAGCAAGGCGGTCCTCTGCCTTTATGTTGTCAAATATCAATCACCCTAGTAAATGTGGAAGACAGAGTGCCGTGGGCAGTACCTCAAATGCTCCAAATCTCTTGATATAATTATTAGTTATTTCCCGTCTTGCTGGTCAAAGATACGATATTTCGAGAAGCACTTGAGAAGGTAATTCCGAGTAAATCTTGTGTTGTGATGGGAATGACTTGGTGTTTTTGCTGGACTTAAGAGATGATTTTGGTCAACTTTATGCAAGGTTTGTTTAAAGATATCATTTAACAGTAACAGAAAACCTGCTCAGGGACAGACAACCATCCAAATCGAGCATTACACATCAAATCAAAGTGGAAATTTTCGGGTTCAATCTATGGGACGGACTGATGGCATACAGAAAATTCTTCCATGTTGTGTAATCCACCACCATCAAATGGACCAAAAGAATAAGCTGGTTACTAAAGCCTAAAACACCTTCACAATATCAAATTAAAAAGGCCTAAACACCATTTTGACTCAGAAGCTTTAATAGGTCATCATGGACCTGAGATCTCGCATTCAGTGGAGCAGAATCAGCCGAAATTGGAAGCTGAGTCAAGTCATCAATGGCAAGGAAGACTCAAACATCAGGTCCATTCCACAGAAGATAAAACCAGCAGACTACGTCACTCCCAAAGAAGAGAATGTTTTAGAAAAACATGTCATACAACTGCATTAACTGGGAAAGTTGTATACAACAGACTAATTACTTTTGGACAGGGAAGTGAAAAAGGGCTCACATTGTCTTTGTAAGCTAAATGGACATATCAACTTAAGTTTCTGCTTGTTTACTTTCATGAGTAGCCAGATCAGCTGCCGCTTTGGCTGCATGGGACAAAACGTCAGAAACCCAGAGAGATCCCTTGGCAAAGTAGCTGCTGTTGACTACAGCAGTAGCAGCTGTTTTGGCAGCTTTACCGGTAACGGTTGCTGCAATCACAGCTGCTGTGCCAGTGGCATATGCAACTGATTTGGTGATATCTGAGACATGGAATTTCTCATCCACGAATTTAACGGTTTCCATTCCAGTGTTGATTTTATCTGTAAGCCCAATTCTGCTGCTGAGTTCGGCAACCTTAGCTGCTGCAGTAGCTGAAACTTGATGGGACTCATCAAAAGCTTTGGCCTTGAATAAAGCATCTTTGCCCAGCACATATCCCTTGGCCATCATGGTCTTAACAACTTCCTGAGCTGCTGTGACTGCTTCTCCAGGTGTAGAAGCAAATTGGTTCGCATGGGCAATCTGCTGACATTAGGGATGGTTTGGCTCAAGAAAATTAAAAGCATTAGAGTGCAACTAGAATAGCTAGAGCCGTAACATTATCATTTTATATGCTAAATCATAATACAGGACAAAAAGTTGTCAGATATCAAGGATGCGAAATGCCAAGAAAACAATTACATAAATCCTCAACTACCCCACTCTTAGTCTTTCTCCAGATTTTGATACTTGACAAATCCAAAACATACCAACAAATTAAATTGGAAATTTGTATTTACATGACTGCAGACCATACTTACGGACCATACTTACGCTCCAAAAACATACAGTTAGTTAAGCAACATGAGTCAAATATTGAATTCATATTATCACACTGAAAGTTTGGTGTTGAGGACTCCAATAAGTAACAGAAGATAATTGCATGTAATGTGATAGAGTTTGTGTAGCAAAAAATGCAACTGACTTGCTTCTCCCACTATACTAAAAGAAATAAAGGCATACCATTGAGTTACTATCCTCTTGAATCTTCCATGAAGGAGCATCCCAAGGATAAGAATCATCTATGTATGATCCCCAGCGTGATATGCACACTGATTGATCAACTATCGTAGCTCCCTGAGATGTCAAAACTAGGACTAATGAGCAATGCAGTAGCCATTAGAGTGCTGGAATGTTAAAAGTGTTAACATTCATTCACAGCCTTGAAATATGGAGTTGATAGAGGAATTCTATTTAATTCCAATATGAAAGGAAGTTCATTTTATACATTACCAACTGAACTCTAGAATGTCAAAGTGTTAATGTTCATTAACAGCATTGCAATATTGTGATCAGGGAAGATTTCTATCTCAATAGACTATAAAAGGAAGTTCAGTTTACACATTTATCTGTTCCTGTAAGACCACAGAGATTATTTTTGGACACATGAGATGGCAAAAACCCAAGTTTATCTTTCTAGTTACACTAAAGTCTAGTTACAGAAATTAACTTAAGAATTCAGCCTTTCTTTAAGTTATCTTAACCATTTGGTAAGTTGCAAAGATGAATTATCTTAGTTATTTCCTCCATTACAAGAGTATGAATGACAACTTACACTGAGTAAGATAGCAGTTTCAAGTGCATAGGCATCTTTAAATGTTACATAAGCAGTACATGCATCCTCCCCACATCTGTTCTCCAGAATAAAAAAAAAAAAAAAAAAACCAAACTTAATTCGTCAAAACTTGAACTTCATGTAATTTCAATAGATTAGATGACCTTTTTACATAGAATTATAAAACTTTGTTACACCAGTCTCAGTATTTCAATTGGACTCATCTCTTAGAACTGGAGAATAATGAAGGTCAAAGGTGCAATTATGTTTTAATTCAACTTTTTATGTTTCTTATTGAAGAAGATGCAAAATAAAAATGCTTACAGAAGAGGTTTTATTGAATTGAAGAGAAGTAAATAAGTATAGACAGCTTGACAATGGCATAAAAATTTGTCCTAGTACAAGAAGCATATGATTAAGAAAGAAAAGGGCTCAGCACTTGCCAGGAAGTTAATTTTTTTTATCAAATTTTGGAATAAAAAGCTGAAAAGAACCCACAATCACAGAAGCTGGACAAAAATCAGGCAAAATACTTACAAGAGCAACTGACAAGGATATTTTTCCATTGTTTCTATTTTAGTTGGGGAGTTTGTTGGAAGAAAGAATTGAAAAGCAAAAAAAATTATTACTTTTTGGCTCCAAGTGATCTGAGTGAAAGAGATGATTATTAAAGGCAAAGAACTGGTCATCCAAATTTACTTTAAATAACATTCAAATTTCAAAGTTATACTCTGATAGATTGATTTCCCACATAATCAAGATTAAGCAGCAGCATCTAAGAAGAAATTAATTCCTGACCAGAAAAACAAGATATGAAATTAGATAAAGTACAAAGCTTTTGACTCCTCCAAAAGTAAAAGTATATAAAACATCCAATGAGTCTACATAAGGCACTATATCTAAACTAAATCATGGCGAAACCACCACCTTGGTTTGGTGATCAATTGAAGTGTATATTCAATTTCATAAACCAGAAGCTGAGTCAACAGATGGTACCTGATAATTTCAACATGCTCAATTGCACCGCAGTAAGCAAAAAACTCATGAACATCTTTCTCAGTAGCTTTTGGAGATAGGCTTGTCACTTCAGCAGTATAACCACCTGGGTACATTGTCTCTTGAATTCCACCAAAATAAATCTAGAATCAAGGCACCTAATTGGAAAACAATAAAATCTTAGCAGCTGATTGGTTAAGGTAGCTTGGTAATAAAGATACCATCTTTCTCATCTAACACTTTATAATGTCTTTTCTTTCAAAGGAAGAGCTGAGATAAGGAATGTCAGAAAGAGGTGATAGACATTATCATCTTGGGGAGCCTTACCCTTGCAATGATCTTGAGGTCAATAATCACGCAGTGGTCCCTGCCTCACATCAATACTTACATAGAAACAAAACAAATTCCAGCAATTCTGGAAGCTTCTAACATCCAACCAGAGTACAGTCTGATTTTTCTTGCTTGCACAATTTGTTAATCTACATTAGTCTTATCTCAAAACCAATACAATGCCACAGCTAAATAATTATACTTGTACCTAAATTCCACGATCCAATGCAATTTTAGTAAGCTAATCTTGTGTTGATACTTATGTTGTGAGTACACCAAGATCTGCCTGAATACAAGATAATGAGCTCTTATTTTCAGATAAAAAATATGGGCCTTCCCCTTGGGGCCATCATATAATGAATGTACTACATACATACACAACACCCACCTCAAAGCGAAAAAAGCTTAACTAGCTTCGATTCTAAGGAACAATGAAAGTCAAACGATGCAAGCATGAAGCCGATTTTTTCAACTTTTTGTCAAAAAAGCTAAAATGTGTGGGACTAACATCAAAGAAATAAACTTATAGAATTGACAAACGACCCAACAGTTCCCACAAGTAAAAAGCCCCTCTATTCAAGTAATCTTTAGGTGAGGAACAAAACAGTTCTCATGATTCCACATGAGAAAAGGGATACCCAGAAGAGGGAAATCAGGAAAAAGAAACGATCAGACAATGGGATAGTACAAATGTACATTAGGACAGAAAAATCAAACCACACCAAAAACATGTTCTCCACAAGAATTAAATAATAACCTGAATTTGCAGCATTCCACAAACAAATTTCAAATTGAACACTCAATGTATTAGTAGTTCAAATCCCACCAAAACAAGAATATTGTAAAAAACCCAGAAAGAATAAGAACTGAGAAAGTACAAAAATGATAACTTTTAATCATTAATCCCTCTGAAATCAAGAACCCATATTACAGAATAAATATCAAACAGATTAATGCCAACAATGGTATAATAAACTTTGTGGGTATGACCTTAAACATCAAAAAAAAAAAAACTTTGTGGGCCTCTCATATTTGCAATAGAAAAGAGGAAGGAAAAAAGAAAAGATTGGTTAATATTGGGGATGATACTTTGCTTACCAGTTCTTGATTCGATGATGAAGCGCTAAACAGAATCCTGGATGCGAGGGGGCGAGGGGGCGAGGAGAGGTGTAGGGGACACGGTGATGACAACTGACGATATCGCTATTGCTGCCACCAAAGCGAACCTACCAGAAAGCCGCAATCCCACGCGCGTTTTGAGGGGTGTTGGGAGCACGAGGTTTTTTTTTTTTTTTTTTTTTTGTTTATTTTAAAGGCGTAAATTTGATATTTTTTCTTTTAGGTTTGTGGGGATAAATTTTATTGTATAAGAGTCATTAGACTGCTTTTAAAATATTAAAAATTTATTTATGATAAATGAGAATTTTGAGAAATTTGATGAAATCAAATATTTCTAACCCGAGTGAATGAATGAAAAAACTTTGTTAATTGATGAAAAAGAAAGAACAACTCTCAATTAAAAAATAAAAAGTCTAATACTCTCAAAAATTAATTTTTTCAATTTAAATTTTGACAATAACTTTTATTTAAGAATCAAATTCAGGTGAAAAAATATAAAGTAAATTATAAAACATTTAAAATATAATATCTATTTAAAATCAATTGTTTTTATTTTTTAAAATGGTTAAGTTTCTTTTTCTTAAAAAAAAAAGAAGTTGAAATGAAAGCATATAAAACAAGTTAGGTCGAAAAGTATATAAAATAGAAAAATTAAATTGAAATTATCAACGACATAAGTAACTAATCTTTACTCTAAGTAGAGAAAAACTTGTAAAATAACTATCTAAATTATTTGTAAAAAAAAAAAAAAACTTCCTCAACCATATAATTAAGATTTGAATTATCATTTCCTCTCTTTACTTTTTTTTATTAGGGTTTTAATTAGTTAACTTATCTCATAAAAAAAAATCTATCCACTAAGAGATCTAAGATTTGATTGAAAGATATATGAATGCGATGAATAAATGATAAAAAATGATTATTACTTATTATACAATTGAAAATTAAAAAAATAAAATAAAAGTTTCAAATTATTTTGGGTAATTTCCCCTATATTAATTAAGTGGCGCGTGATTTAATTTTCCTCAAAAGGCGCGTTTAGGAGTCTCTTCTGGTTGTTGTTTGGGATAAAAATAATGACCTCGCAGTTAGATTTCTACCATACAAATACAATTGGCGGTGGCGGGCACTCTTAGTTGGGACAGTTAAACGACAGCCGCACCACCCATATCCCTAACGTAAATTTTAAATTTAGTATTTTTCTATTTTTTTTAAGACTTGTTATTACTAAAAATCCTTTAATTTTATAAAAAAATTCATTATCGAACTTCTATTTTAAAAAATTCACAAAAATTTCATAACGCCGTTTATTCACCCGGCGAAATCCTCCAAAATTTAATGGTAAAATGACATGTTGGGTATCCCAGCTTTTAGTTCCAATGCACTTTGATTCTCAAACTTCAATTTTATTTAATTTGGTCCCTAATTTTAACTTTTTATTACACTTTAGTCCCTAAAATTTGTAAAGAATTACACTTAAGTTTCAAATTTTCTAATTTCATGTATTGTAGTAATTTTTATACAAGTAATAAAAATAATGTAAAATCTAATAAAAGTGCATTTAACTCATCTAAATATCAATAAAATTAAGGCTAAAATAGTAAGCTAAAATATATAAAATTTATCTAATTAAAGTAAGAATTAAGTTTTTAATACTCAATTTAAGGTTTTTAAAAATTAAAAAAATAATATTTAACTCTTTGCATACACATAACTCACAAAAAAAAAAAAAAAAAAACAATATGATCAAGAAAAGAGTTAAAAGGAGATGCTTACTTTCTTTTCCACATTATATACCAATAACCATTGAAACAATGTCTAAAGTTATTATTAGTTTATGATGTTCACATGACTATATTTAGTCTAAACTCATAAGTCGTATCTATATTTTCTACAACTTTATCATTATAGTTGTTACATTTCACAAGATTCCCAATTAGGTATCTAGGCCTTTTTAGGAGAAGTGAATATCATAGACTTGATTTTACATATTAATAACATGAATTTTAATAAATTTTAATGTACTACATTACATTTGATTTTATTAATATTTAAATAAGTTGAGTACAATTTTATTGGAAATTACATGATTTTTATTATTTATGCAAAAAGGAAATGAAATGCATGAAATAGAAATTTTAGGACTCAAGTGCAATTCATTTAAAATTCTAGGGACAAAATTCCACAAGAAAAATTGAAATTAGTGACCAAAGTGAATAACCCAAAGTTTATGATCAAAGGGCATAGAAAATGAATGTTAAGGGACCAACAATGTCATTTTACCGTTAAATTTTGAGAATTCTAACAGGATTTACGCGTCATGATGTCCACCATGACTAAAAGGATAATGGTTGGCTCTTCTTTGGAGTTGGAGAATTTTTATGAATTCTTTTAATGTAGAGTAACGATACATTTTTTTTTTTTTGTAAAGTTAAAGGATTTCTAGTAGTATTAAACCCTTTTTAATAACAGAAATTTTTTTTTTCATAATAACAGAAATTGAATATCAGGAGAAAATATACGTGTCACTTCCGAAAAGACTAATTTCTTAGGTAATCTGATGTTTCTGGGCTTTGATGTTTGAATATATGTTTGATTCACTGACTATTTACACCTAAAATTAAATCTTATAGTCCTTAGATTAGGGTTTGGAAACGAGAAGAGAGAGATCTCTTAGTTTTCTTTTGTCTCATTCTATATAGAGTATACGTTACGACATGGTAATACCCCGGTGGGCCTCTACCCTTGCAGCTATAGCTGCAGGAGTGACTGGTTTTTAGAGCTTAATATAAAGAAATTATTAATGTAAATAGAGATTAGTACTTCTTTATAGAACTTTTAAAGTATTAATTAAGAGGAAAATATTGTAAAATTATATTATTTTAACAAAATATCACAAAAAATATTAAAAAAATTTTTTTAACACATTATTTTAATTTTTTCAATCAAAATTTATTAAAATAATAGAATTTTAGAATCTTTTTTCTAACTTTTTATATTTCTTAATGATAAATACTTTTTTAAAGTAAATATTACTGCTAGAACGTTAGAAAAATATTTATAAAAAGAAAAGGAAAAAGAAAAGTAGGCAACACCTCTTCCTCTAGATACAACTAAGGCAGATTGTCGGAGAAGGAATGAATTTGGGGCGTAAACTTAGGCCTCTTTTTGGAGAATTGAAACTTGAAAGGGACTACTTTTGATCCCAAACATGCATGAGAAAAGGAGAAGTACTGTATAATTAGTTGACTTATATTTTCTCCAAAGCCACGGGCGCACAAAATTTTCAAATGCTTCAAGTTACTCATTTTTAATATGATTTTGTTTCCCTACTCGTGCCTCGTGGGTCGTGGTTAATTATATAAATTCCATCATGATTATATTCTACGCTCTTCTTTGAGTGATCCTTAAATCTTAAGAGAAATTCAAATGTGAATATGGTATTTTTCAGTTTATCTTGATTGGAAAAGTGAAGTGTAATTCATTTTATTTGAATTATATTTTACTTAATTATTTGTTAAGATATAAACACAATTATTCAGATTATATTCATAATTATTATAAATATTTTATATTTTAAAATATTATCTTTGTATATTTTATACTTTAAAATATTCTCTTTGTAAACATCTATATATAGGTTATTGTACATACAATATTATTCAAGAAAGCAATAAACCTTTTTTCAATATTTCTTCTCCTTTTTTATTTCTATCATGGTATCAGAGTTATAAGCTCTTGGTTCTTCTCTTTTATCATTGCTGTTTGGTTTTTTGAGTTGGATTTTTAAATCCATTCTAGGTCTGAAACTCTATTGTTGTGAACTCTTCTTCTACAGATTGGATTGCTTATTTTCAAGCATTTCCTGAGGTATTTTTTTAAGTTGTTATTTCAATCTTGACATCTATTTCTTCATATTTTTAGATTTTTTTTCCAGTATTGTGAGTTTTATTGATTCTATGGCGAGTTTTGAAAAAACTATAACTCATCCTACTACTGTTATGGTTGCCAGAGAAGTGATAGACCAACCTATTATCCCTAAAACAAGTGATATTAAACCTTTTTTTTAATGCTCCTATTGCCTTATCTGTTGCTCCAAGTACCAAACCTTGGTATTTTGATTCTATTTATTGTAACCATTTGTCTTCAACTACTGCTTATTTCTCTTCAATGTCACCAAATAATTATTTTCCTAATATTTATTCTGCTAATGGTTCCTCTATGGATGTTAGTCACATTGATAATATTTCTACAAAGTCATTGACTTTACCAAATGCTTTCTTAATTGCAAAACTTAGTTATAATCTTCTATCTATTGGTCAATTATGTGATCCTGGCCTTGAAGTAACACTTTCTACTCATGGTTGTCATGTGCAGGACCCACAGATAGGACAACTTCTTGGAATTGGTCGCAAGGTAGGGCGTGTGATTAAGCTCAATTATCTGCATATTTCACATCATAAAATGGACATACCATCATTTCCAAATGATCATTTCATCCAAACCTTGCTTTATGCTGTTGAATTTGAGTCCTTACAAATTCCATACCAACAAAATTTGCAAGCATATGCTACTACTAATATTTCGCCTCTCCATTTGTGACACTCATGGCTTGGACATACCTCAATCGATAAATTTCGTTCACTTATCTCTCGTGATTTATTGGGATCAGTTCCGAATGAATCTTTGCATTGTGTGTCATGTCAATATGCAAAGCAACTAGCTTTATGTTTTTCGAGTAGTCATTCTCATTCTACTACTCCTTTTGATCTCGTGCATTCTGATGTTTGGGGTTCCTCTCCTACACCCACCATGAGGGTTTCTAGGTACTTCATGTTATTTATTGATGATCATACTCATTTTACCTGAATATACCTTATAAAAAATTGCTCTAAATTATCACAAATTTATATTGATTTTGCTACCATGGTTAGAAACAAGTATATAAAATTATCAAAATTTTGAGAACTGACAATGCTACTAAATATCTTGGTACTAAACTTCAATTCTTTTTGAAAGAATAGGGTACACTGACACAATAATCTTGTCCTTAAACTTCTGAATAAAATGGGCGAGTCGAATGTGAACACAGACACAACCTTGATTCTGTTCGTGCTCTGCTCATTCCATCTTCTTATCCAGAGCGATTTTGAGATGAAGTTGCTCTTACAACTGTTTATCTTATTAATTACATTCCATCATTAGTCCTTAATAACCAGTCTCCATATGAGCGTTCACATGGTATTCTTCCTGCCTATAATCTCCTTAAGGTTTTTGGTTGTGCATGTTTTGTTCTTCTTCCAGCTCATAAACATAACAAGTTAGGGCCTAGAGCTCTATTATACTACTTTTTGGGTTACAAGATTACACAAAAAGGATATTGTTGTTGGAATCCTGTGTCACAAAAAGTCTGAGTTTTACGTCATGTTGTCTTTTGGGAACACACCATGTTTTCATCATTGTCAAACTTCAAAGTGTCATTCTCTCATCAACCTCCATTTTTTACTGATCCTTCTATTGAGCTATTTCTTGGTGATTTTGATGTAGGTACATTTGATGAACTCTATAATGCCTCACCACATGCTCCAACTAGTTCTGTAGAAGATGATCTGCCTATTAGTAATGTATTAGATAATTTAAGCCTTCTTTTACTTCCTCCTTTGTATCACCTGTTGATGTTGCATCTGATATTGTTGAGTCTACAAATGAGCTTATTGTCCCATCCTTAAGTCATCCTACTCAGGTATGAAACCTTCCCAGTTACCTTTGTGATTATCATTGTTTTCCTACTATTACTTCTTTACATGAACCTCAATTCTATCAAGAAGCCTCTTCTAACCCCCTTTGGCAATAAGCTATACAAGATGAATTACAAGCTCTTGAGAACACTTGTAAATGGGATTTAGTTGATTTCCCTACTGAAAAGTCTCTAATAGGCTGTAAATGGGTGTACAACATTAAAACACGGTTTGATGATTCTGTGGAGTGTTATAAGGCACAGTTGGTTGCCAAGGGTTTTACACAGGAGTATGGAATAAACTATGAGGAAACATTTGCTTCAGTTGCTCGTCTCACATTTGTGCACAGTTTGCTAGCTATTGTTGCTATACAAAGATGGAAATTGTTTCAAATAGATGAAAACAATGCTTTTCTTAATGGTGACCTAGAAGAAAAAGTTTATATGAAACCACCTCTTGGGCTCAACCATCCTCCAAACAAGGTATGCCGATTGCAATGTGCATTATACGAGTTGAAGCAATCCCCTTGAGCCTGGTATGCAAAGTTTAGCGCTACTGTGAATGAGTTTGGTTTTACTTCCAGTCCACATGATACAGCTCTATTCATTGGTAAGACTACTCAAGGTATGGTTTTTTTACTTCTTTATGTTGACAACATGATTATTACTAGAGATGATGTCACAGGTGTTAAGGAGCTAAAACAATCTCTTAGTTAGAAATTTGAGATGAAAGATCTTGGTGTTCTGAGCTATTTTTTGGGGCTTGAAGTCACCTTTTTAGATGATGGCTACCTACTTTCTCAAGTAAGGTATGCCTCCGATCTTGTTTCTAAAGCTGAACTCAATGATGGTAAGAGTGTTTCTACACCTCTTGAACCTAATGTCAAGCTTACACCAATGGATGGCTCTCCCTTTGCTGATCCTACTCGATATTGGCAATTGGTTGATAATCTGGTTTATTTTACCACGACATGCCTTGACATAACATATGCAGTTCACATCATTAGTCAATTTATGGCTGCTGCTCACTCCACTCATTATGCAGTAGTATTTCGCATTATTCGCTATGTTAAGGGAACATTGCTTCATGGAATCCATTTTTCTAGCAACTCCTTCCATGTGCTTCGCGCTTACTCTGATACTGATTGGGCTGGTGATCTTTTTGATCATAAATCTACCACTGGTTATTGTTTTTTCCTTGGTAATTCTCTTATTTCTTGGCAGAGTAAGAAACAAACTATTCCATCTCGCTTTAGTACTGAAGTTGAGTATAGAACTCTTGGTGATACCACATCAGAACTTCTTTCATTATGGTGGCTTCTTGAAGATATGGGCATTCCTCAGCCTTCTTCTACTAAGTTATATTGTGATAATCAAAGTGTTATGCAAATTGCTCACAATGATGTCTTCCATGAACGCACTAAGCATATTGAGGTTGATTATCACTTTGTTCGCTATCATGTTGCACAAGAAATTGTTTATTTGGTTTTCATTGGCTATACTAATTAACCAACAGACCTTTTTACAAAGGCTCATTTTCCTGAACGCTTTCATACTCTTCTTTCTAAACTCAAGTTAGTTTCATCACAACCACCTTGAGTTTGAGGTGGGATGTTAAGATATGAATACAATTATTCAGATTATATTCATAATTATTGTAAATATTTTATACTTTAAAATATTCTCTTTATATACTTTGTACCTTAGAATATCTTCTTTGTAAACACCTATATATAGGTTATTATAGATACAGTACTATTCAAGAAAGTAATAAAACTTTCTTCAATATTTCTTCTCCTTTTCTATTTCTATCATTATTAATGAAAAATAATTTTTTTTAATTTAGATGAGCTTTTTTTTTTATCAGTAATTAAAAGCATATGAGAGAAATGCATTATAACATTTTCTATGTCAATTATATTATATTATAATTTATAAGAAGATGATGACATGCACTTCAGAAACCACGTGAAACTCCACATATATATCTTCGCATTTTATGTTATGTTGTGGTGGGATTTTAATAGGGACAACACGTCAATTTTATAAAAAGATTTATCAGGTATCACTTTTCTATTATTTAGGATATTGCATATATGAAAAATATCAATATGATACAGCAAAATTTCTTAAATTAACATTAATTAAAGAAAATTATTAATACACACTCAATTTAATACATTTTTAATATATTTTTTATTCAATTATTAAAAAAATAATATAAATACAATTAATTCTTACATTCTATATACATAACTGTATTTTTAAGTTTATTTGTTTTAAATTTCAAATTAAAAAATAATAATTTTTTAATGCGTATATTATGCAATATATTGAATCGAAATGTGTAACAATCATTATCCTTACATTAATTTTCTTTAACTTGAAATTGACTAATTGTGTTAGTTAAGCAATCATTCAAGGCATCCAACACGCCACTTACCATTTGATATTAGCTTGGTTTTAAAGCTCGCTTTGACCTAATTATATACTACGCGAGGTACCATCTCAATTAAGTAACAAATTTTATATCCATGCCTCGAATGTTGTCTCAATTTTTTTTAAAAAAAAAATTATGAAACCATTGTCTCAATTACAAAATTCAGCAACTCTTGGTGGTCCTTTTTATGAAACAAAGAATTCAGACGTTGATAGATGATGTCCGAAAAATACCTATACCCTCTTCGCAAAGGCGCGCGTGCATAAAAACGGATTAGATGTTACATTAAGAACATATATAGAAGTTTATTGGTTGGTAGAGGACAAATAATTACAATTATTCAAATAATAAACGGGAAATTGAAAGGAAACTCTACAAAAGGAGGTCAATATCAGGCATCCATAAAACAAAATTAATTAATTAAAGTTCCATCAAATCACTTAACAATGATATTTGATCATTAGTGTGCTCCAAATCTTAACATTAGGGATATTGATTTCAACTTACCGACAAAAAGCTAATTAGGATCAACGTAAAATTGCTTCCTTCTTACTACCACTTCCGTTTTTTGATCCGATGAACAAAAAAATAAAAAAAATTACTTCTGTTTTTTTTGTTGGATAATATGGGTATCTCAATAGTTAGCCTAATTAATCAATTAAGTGGTACTTAATTAAGTTCAGAAAATTAATAATATATAGCCGGTTTAATTTTTTTTTCTTTTTCTTTAAAAAAATTTTTTTTTTTTAATGTTTTTGGGTTGATAATTAATATCAAAAACAAAGATTCTTGTGTCAAAAAGCCAAAAACTTGAAGAGGCAAAAGGTACAAGGAAAAGGCATGCCAAGCACACCCTGAATGAGTATATCTCCATATGATAGAAAATCTAAGTATAAGATAATAAGAGGGCTTTATGCTAGTGCAAGTACCCCTTAATTAATACAAACTTTACATTGTCCAAATCAACCCACATGGCATTACACATTCTTAAAAGCTATATAATCTATTAAATTCTTTTCTGATCTGATTATCCTTTAGTGATCCAAACCTCGTAATTAATTGTAAGAAAGACTACTTGATGAAAAAAGATAAAAGGATAAAAAAAAAAAAGACAGAAAGTTACTACTTAAGCATGCAGCATATATAGTACTACATAATTAGGCTCCTAATAATCGCTGCCTCAGCGCTATCAGCATCAATTGTGGACAGAAGCTGGGACAGTCTCTCACTCAGGTCGTCCACTTCTTTGTGCAAGTTCCTTATGTAGTTGCAGGTTTCCTGTAGGACCTTCGAAGCCGATACCTGCACCATGCCACCATTGTACTATCAGTAATGATTAAACACATGCACTCGCTTTAAAAACAAAAGATTTGAACATAAAACCTCTCGAGGCATTCATGAGCCTTGTTGAGGAAGTATTAATGATTGACATATGAGAAGAAAGGGAAATGGTCAAAGAAGAAACAGTACTGTTCTAAGTCAAATGAGAAAACCTGAAACATCTGAAACCGTGTTTCCATGACATCCGGGTTAAGTATCAAACTTTTTGAAACAGTGCTTCTATTAATTAATAACTGAAATATTACTAAAATAATAATAATAATAATAATAATAATAATAATGATAAAAACTGAAATGTTCGGTTATGTTTATGTTTGTTGCACATGCAACATGTTATTACATTCTTTTTTTCTTTGTTTGCACATGAAAAAGAAAAGAAAAAACTCAACTCCTTTTCATGTTCTCTTCTTCATACAATTAATTCAAGAAGAGGAAGAGAATTGAAATTAAGTACCTTATCAGATCGCCTGTTTCGAATCTCTGGTAGAAGTTGACGTAGCTTGGAGACAAGTTCAATGATCTGATCATCACTGATCCTTGAAACTCCAGACTGACTCGACCTTCTGCTAGACATCCTCGAACACTAAGGTCTTTATGTCTGAACGCACGTACTTCAAACTTGTAGCTATATCTAGCGCTAGAATAATACTTTCTTTTCAAGGAAATGTCTATACTTGCAAATGAGAGGAACTTTGAAGAAGAAATATAGGTATATATTGGCAAAGAGGAAAGGAGTGGAGAGGAATTAAGAGCACTGGAGAAGAGAGAACTAGAGATGCAAGTGGAGATGAAGAGAAATGGAGAAGCGATAAGAGAGATTTAAAGGGCAAGAAAAGGACCACAAAGGCGGAAATAGAGAGAGAGGGAGAGAGAGGAAGAGAAAGAGTACAATAACAAAAACAGTGATGTTGAATGTGAAGAAGACATGTGCATTGGAGAAAGCAGAGGAGTAGCTAGGACTGGTGTTTTTAAGTGAATTAGAAAAGAGAGAGAGAGAGAAATCAAGGGATTGAATATGTTCCAAGTTGGGGATTGCACCTCAAGTGGGCTTTAAAGAAATGTGTTTGTTTTTGAGATAACAGAGTGGGCCTTCATGTGCATGTCTGAATACACAAGACCATGTGAGTGATTTTCATAGGACAAAATTGATCTTGTCCTTTCACCCGCCTGCCCCTACTTTTTCATCACACTGAATTTCACAAACAAATCAAACCTTGACACATTTCAGTTATTCTATCAATAACTGTTTTTAACTCTTCCCTCCTATGTTTCCGGACTCTGGCTCCCCCTTACTTACAGTATTAACCTACTTTTAGCATTTTACTTTAATAAATTTATAAATTTTATCTTCTCACGTTATATTATCACATTTTTAATTCTTTATTTATAAGAATTAAATAAAATAACCCTTATTTAATATCCAGTTAACTGACTATTAGTTTTGTTAGTTAACTGTTAGTTCTATTAACTGTTTGTTAGCATTTCGTTATAAAAAATATAAAATTTAAATTCAATTTTATTTGTTAGTTCCATTAACGGAATGCTAACAATCAATTAATAGCGTTAACAATCAATTAACAGAATTAACAGTTAACTAACAGAACTAACAGTCAACTAACAGAACTAACAAAATATTATAACTTGATGTTAAGTAATGGTTATTTTCTTCAATTTATATAGATGAAGGATTAAAAGTGTCATAATACAAGGTGATAGATAAAACCTACAAATTTATTAAGGTAAAAAGGATAAAATTAAGGTAAAAAGTTAAAAGTAAATTTTTACCCCCTTACTAGCCATCCTCTTATTGGTACGTGTGTACAAGAAGCTGCTGCATATATTATTCATCAAATCATTTTAATAAACTCTCATAAAAAAATTTTAAAGTAATTTATTTTTAAATTATAAATGAAATTAGTTTGATATTTTCTTATGCTACTTTATTAAGAACTATTAATGAGATGATCCTTTTAGCAAGCAAGCAAAAATATGAGTTTCTCTCAAATAATTGTTTTCTTGTATTTATATGCTTGTTTGGGACATAACTACGTGAATGTTACAAACGATATGATTTTCCAAATCCAAAGGCTACGATCACATGCCATTATCCCTGGCGAGCACGACACGACACGTGGCATGTGTTCGGCTGGTACTGTAATACATACATATGAAACTTCCGTGGCTTTCTGTCTACCAAGAGTCACGTGTTCCTACACTAAAATAATACAAAGGGAAATAGAACACTGATTCTCTCTCTGTAGTCACTCTCTACTCACAGCTCTTTCATTTTCATGTCACAAGAATACCATGTTAGATGTATATATAACATGTCACGAGTACGTCCTAGTTCGCAATATCTGCTTAAATCCACAAATAAAAAAATTTTATTAATATTTTTATATTAATTACATGATATTAGTATTTGTCAACCATATCTTTTGGCGAGGGATTGACCCTACATTAACAATGTAACTTAAAAGGCATATAAGATTCAAAAGTGTTGACACGGTAATCTTAACACACCCATGTGATTAAAGACAAGTATATCAATAGAACAATGACATGTGACAAGATTATCATGAATGAAACTTATAAATATTTCTAACTACCTCCACATAAGATAATAACTTGAGAGTTCTACTACGCTTCTCTCTGCAATAACTCTTACTAAGAGCTCCTCTTTTTAGATTATAAAGTATTACTAACTTGAGTCAAAGTGTTTTTTCTAAAGAAATATTCTCGAGTTTTTCAAGTATTGAATCGGTTTCTAATCCCAACTATAGGAGTTCATGAAGTTATCCAAACACCTTTGGAAGAAAAACTTTCAAACTTTAATATTTTAGTGACCCATTTAATAAATATTTTTCTTTCATTATACTCTGTCCAAATTTTATTTATATATTATTGTTCTGAGGACAAAACCAAAAAAAAAAAAAAAAACAATGTGTACGTGATATATAATGGCGTAGTAATATTTTAGCATTTTTGAATTCTTCTATGTTTCTGTTGACGCAGAGTTGAAGTTCAGTTTCTTGCCAACCACCAACAATTTCATGAAATGCAGGATTCTTTTCGCTATCTTTGATGTTTTCCGGGTCTCTTTTCTGATATCAACAGTAAAATGTGTTTCGGGTCTCTTTCTCAGATCTCCTGTAGACCCTTTTTTCCTTTCTTTTCCTTTCTTTATTTCTCCATCAATTGACACTTTCCTCTGGCTATTTGCATATATACTGCAGTCTCCTTATTAAATTTTAATATTATTTTTAGTCTGAGTTGCTGAAAATTCAAAACTTTTGAGACTTTTTAATTGATTTCCTCCCCACTTTTTGTCCAGTTCAGAAAACAATGAGCAGAAAGCGAAACAAAGGATTGAGGATTTTCTTAACCCTGGGCGCCTAGAGTTTTCTGCAAAGTCCAAGATGGACTTATTAGGACAAATTAGATATTCGATCGAGGTAGGCGTATTAATTTGGTAAGACAGGCTGTTTCTCGTCAAAGAGTTTTAATTTATGGGGATGAAGTTATATTCAATCTTCACAAATTAGTACCGAAAACTCATATGAATTAATAGTGTACTCAGCCGTGGTTTTTATTTTTTATTTTTTATTTTTTTTTGTGAGTACTCTACTTTCGACCAAACAATACTATTTGATGTCTGATGATGAGTAATACAACAGTATTTTATATCCATTATTTTTCATAAGTTGCTCTTAAACTGTCTTTAAAGTTTCAATCATAATTAAGGTCTTCATTTTAGAAGCCTCAATTCAAATGGGTCGAATGTTTTTTTGGTCTTTTTGGATATGGCTTAAAGTAATGATATTGAGGAAATCAAACATACTATCAATTAAAATGTTAGAAATAATAATGAAAATAATAAAATATACTTAATAAATTAATATGTAAGGAAGATTTATTAATAAAAGTATTAAAATAAATTCACAAAAAATTTTAACATTTAAAATGCAAAGGTAATGATTTTTCACTTTTCTCTCAAAAGCAATTAATCCAAAATGTATAGAACTTTGACCATCAAAAGCAAGTAAAAAGATGAGTAAGTACTATTAAACACAACATAAGATAAAATGCTTTTGGCCATGATTTAAATGGAAATGCTGTGCAAAAAGGCACGTACACATCCACCGAATTCAATTAGCAACATTGGCCAAATGCATGTGGGTTTCTCGTGGAAAATTAGAATTGTGTTTTTTTAGTCTCCTTTCTGGACCAAAAAAAGATTGAAAATAGAGAGAAACAACATGACAATGAAATTTCCTTATGAAAACCAATTCAGCAAGCCAAACTTCTGCTACCTCTTGGGTCTTTGAAAACGACAGCTCCTGGTCACTCTAGTCCCATCGACTTTGTTTGGTCCACTACCAAGAAAAATGAAGTAATTAAATTACTCGTCTCTTCAATCTCTCCTTAATTTTATCCATGAAATTTGGTGTACATGTCCTAAGAAAGAGCCTAAAAGGACAATGTAGGAGTAATTCATGCATGTATAACGGACTAACTTTTTATCTGAACAGTTTGCATCATGTTGATCATGTAATGTGCATGCTAGAATCTATGTAAGAATATAGGATAGAGTCTCCTTTATCCTCTACAGCAATAAAATAAGTCTTTTGATTGTTCCAAAAAAAAAAAAAAACTTTTTTTATCTCTACTTAGATTTTTTTTGATACATTTAATTATAAAAAATTAATTCTTATCTATCTTATCTCATAAAAATTAAAAGGAAAATCACCTATAAACTACGTAATTTTAATAAAGTATTATAAGGAAAGACAAAAAATACTTTAATTCATATTTTAAAAATAAGATATTTTAATTTTTTTTAATGAAAATTTATTGAAACGACATAGTTTTAAAAAAAATTTTCTCTTAAATTTTAAAAAGTAAGATGAATAAGTACTATTCCTTAATTATAAATTATTTTGAAAAAATTATTAGTACAGATTCGATTTAACATATTTTTTATTTAATTATTAAAATATAATATAAATATAATTGATTTAATCAGTTTTTTATTTTGTTTTTATATTCTATATAAATATGATAATTTTTTAATAAACTTATTATGCAATATATATGAAACTGAAATGTATCCTAATCGTTAACACAATGTATTAGATAATCTTCTTCTTTTTTTTTTTT